TAAACACAAATAAATAAAATCAGCAGTACAGTGCACTTATATAGTAGAGCCTTTAACGCAAGTTGAGACTTCATCTTCTAAAAAAGTTATATTGTTGTGTCTTATTCACCAAAGTGTAAACGAGTCCATCAGGTCATGTGTCATTAAAACTGAAACTATCTTTTTGTTAAAAACATTAAAAAACAACTAGATTTCTGTTACCGGTAATTTAGCTTCAACTTAATGCAAAGTCAAAAACGATAAACATCTTGCAATGTGAAAATTGAAATAAAACAAAGTTAAACTCTAATCCGAGCTTCTCACCTCGCTGTGTGTTTGTTGGTCATACACAAGCGGTGCTGATTAAACTCATGGTGAAACTTTTAATAGTTTAAAAAAACATTTTAAAGCGTGCAAATTATGACATATTTCGACTTTCCATATCTTTCACTCTTCCTTTTGTTCATATAAATGTTTCTACACAGCTGCTTTCAAACAAACAGGCAGGCGCTTTATCTTAATCTAATCTGGTTTAACTTCGGTATAGAGTGCTTTAGATAGGATTTTCTTCTCTTGTGGCAGTAAACAAAAAGCAAATAAAAATATTAATTATTACCCGTTACCAAGATATAACCTCTGAAATCATGTCAATTCAGTGTTACATGTACCGTTACTCCTCCATTTTGTTTACAATATCTGCATTTTTGGTGGTGATGCATGTTTAAAAGTTTTACATGTCAATCCACCAATTTGACAAAAAACTGACGAGACTGACCTCAGCCTCCTTCTCCTGCAGAATAATGTCCTTGTCCATTTCCTCCGGCTCCGGTCCTTTCCTACATCGGTGACACACATCTAATTATTTATAATGTTATGGCTCACTGACGTATCAGTTTCTATTGTCCTGAAGGGAAACCAATCATTAGAAGGGCTAAAGTTACACATTACATGTTATGATTTATAACAGGGTCCGCTCAGAATGCTTGCTGTACCGTTTTAAGGAGCATGAAGCAAAAAGCACAAAGGCCACGCTTTGAAAGGTGGAAAAAAGGGTTAGTGGGTCAGTTTTTCATGGCAGTGAAGCAGCTCTAAAAAGAAGCATTACCTTCTACAACAAACAGAAGCAGGAAGATTCATGAGGCAGCAGTTAGAGCAAAGGTCAGCCTCCCCCAAATAAAAAAACTACACAGTACCTCCACTCATGGGACCAGGCAGCCATCGTGGGACAGATGGCGAGACAATGAGGCCACACTAAAACCAGTCCCTTATCCTGGGGCTGGCTTTGGAACCAAAACTAAAACAGGTTTTTTGTCTAGACTGAGAGTTAAATCAAAATATAATTAAACTATGTTATATGAGACACAGTAATCCTGTCAGATACTCCAACTGCACATGCTTTTTTTATATATTTTACTGATATAAGCATGTAAAGAAAGGCACTACGTCTCCATTACATCCAGTTCTACGTTCCACTACCACACAAAACTGATGGTAACATGCAAAATATCTACTGGTACTGCTTTAACAACATGTGACTCTAAACAAGAAGGGAACAGATGACAGGAGAATCAAACAAACATCCTGAGATTTAGTCCATATAAATGCTACCAGCAGGATCCTGATTGTTTTACGTCTTGCTGGTTTTCAGCTCTAAGTGATGGGTTTATGTACTGCCACCGTCACTGTGCTGAGCATCCACGATAGACTTTCATCACAGTTGTGATATTTTGACGTGGGGGGAGGTGCTGAAAAAGCAAGCCGACAGAAGTACGTACGCAGGAGACAGAGGCAGAATGTAACCATGGGATGACAACCTGCCACCCCGTTTGAGGCGGTCTGAGCGGAAGTTCTCGTAGTGCAGGTCCTGGGTTACTTCCTGTAGATCCTGCATGTGGGTTCTGTGGAGGTAGTGAAAAGGAAAAGTCAGCACTCGCAGACATTTTGACAACTTTAAGCTCCATTCTTCTTACTCAGATATAGAAATAAAAGAGATGATCATGATGAATTACCAGTACGATAAAAGGCTTACTTCAAATGTTACCTCATTTCTTTGAAAATGTTCATACCTGTGAATGCTGAGTCAGCATTCACACAATTAAACAAATCATTGTTTTGTCCGTTTGTAGATTCTTCTGTACATTTTTGTGATCAAATTACTTTTGCATCCCTTATTTTATTAATTCACATCTCAAACAGTTCCACTCGATCAGAAGGGACTGTTTCCCCTACCCAACAAAGTTCAGTCAGGTCATCTGGACAGTTTCTTTTTTTTTGTTGTTGAGACATTTCATCCTTCATCCTTAAGATGGTTTCTTATCAAGAAACCATCTTATCACCAGCAAACTGGTTGGTCCACTATGTGAGTGTGCTGCTTGTGAGACTGAGTTTGTTGTGGTTCCTTGGACTGATGAAGTCCTTTGGATGAAGGATGAAACGTCTAGAAAAAAAAAAAAGAAATATGTTAGGACACATGTTTGGATTGGTATTTGTTTTTTTCTCTTCATATTTGAACTAATCAGTTTCAGTGGGTTTAGTCACTTCTAAGAGTCACAGTGGTGTCTCATGTTACAGTCAAATAAGGATATGTTGCAGGGAAACTATGTTTTTAAGACTAATGTGCCAAAATACACATTACAGCTCCTGTCTGTATATAGTTCAACTCCATCTGAGTTTAGCTACAAGTAGGTCAAAACTCAGTTCTTAAAATAGAGGGTCTCGCTCCACTTGATCTGCAAGCATCAAGACTCGGGTGACGCAGAACTCTTCCTCAAATGATCTGCAGAAATAACACCTTTAGCTGCTCTACCACTCACATCAGCATGGTCCGCAGCTTGAGGAAGTCATTGTGTTCTGGGTTCTCCACTTCCACCACGCCCCACGGGTACAGACGACCCCTCACCTTCTTTCCTTTGGCTTCAATCTGCTGGTTGGATCCCACCACAGCAAACGGGATGCTAGCCTGGATAAGACGAGTAGTAGGTCCTATAACTGCTATATTAGCTCAACCACTAAAATACAGTTAAGACACTTTGAAAACCATCTGGGAACTTGACTATATCAAATCAGACTCTGTCAAGATAATAGGAAGATGTTACCTTGAGGATTCTGGTCTGCTCTTTGAAGTCTTCATCTTCATCTGACTCTGCATCAGGAAGGTGATAGATCTTGATTCCTTGCTCGTCGATCTCATCAAGAATCTTACCAACAAGAAAGTGACAAAACGAACAGTTAGGAGAGCTTATTGTGATCTGAGAGAAGAGGAAACAGCGTTTAGATAAAACCCTTTCAGACAGAAGCTCTGCGTGCAGCTGTGGAGCAACAATGGAGAACTCTGCTGCTGCTCACCCTGCGCTTCAGCCTCTCCCTCTCTCTCAGGGTGAGTGTGTCGGCCTTGGCGATGACTGGAACCACGTTGACCTTGTTGTGAATGGCCTTCATGAATTGAACATCGAGAGGTTTCAGGCTGGTCAGGTTGAGAAACGAAAACAAAAAAGACGAACACAAATTAAAATTAATTGATGTGGTCGTTTTAACACTGAAGGCCTTCTGTCACTGAATGGTTTAGAGTATTCTTGATAGTAAAAACCCACCCGTGGCCAAGAGGGGAGATAAAATAGAAACAGCAGTGAACTCTGTTGTCCACAATGTGTCTACGATTTAGGCCGCTTTCATCGTGGAGGTAGCGCTCGAACTGGTCATCGATGTAACTGATGATGGTGCTGAAACTGGAAGGAAAATAAAACATGTCAGCAGGAAGCACCAAGCACACCCGAACTCAAACACACCACCACAACATTGAAACAAACAAAAAAAAAAGAGAAATTGCATTTCCAGCAAAAATGTAGTGCTTATTGCTTAAGAGTTTGCTGAAAAACATCTGAAATGAGCTAAAGAACATGCTGAAATGTAGCTGAAATGGAAGAACAAGCCTAAATTAGCAGAAGAAAGCAGAAAGAACACATATTTGCTGAATTAGGTTTAAATAAGCAGAAATTAGTACAAAAATGACGAAATTAGCTAAAAAAAGGCTGAAATTAGGAAAAAAAAAACAGCTGAAAAGTAGCTGAAGAGGCAGAAAGAAGTTTAAAATGCTAGAAGGAAGCAGAAAGAGCTGAAATGAGATTTAAAAAATGTGGAATTAGCTTAAAAAGCTAAATTTAACATGAAAACAGCTAAATAGTAGCTGAAATAGCAGAAAAAGCTGAAAGGAGGATAAGTTGAAATTAGCATAAGGATGTTAATTAGGCTGAAAGTAGCAGAAAATACCATGAAAAACTTGAATTTATCTGAAAACAGCTGAAATTAGCTAAAAAAATGCTAAAAGGTTAGCTGAAAAGGTAGAACAAGATTAACTT